GGTTTATCTTGTGAATCACATGTAGGTGTTTGCACAACTAACAGTGCCAGTATTGTGTGGCAAAAGAATCTCAAGGCACCCAGGTTAAAAATCAGTGGTTGAGCTAAACAAAATTTTATCATTTTGCAGCACTAACATTTGCCGCCGCCTCTGATTCTAGATCACATGCTATTATTGAACTACCCCAAAACTTCAGCTGACCAATACATGACAAGTACATTCTGAGGGTTACAACTTATATAGGACAGACCGTGTGGGGAAGAGGGCTGGGGTGTTGCTCTCTACGTCAAGGATCAGCTCACCGCCCTGCAGATTGAGTTTCCAAACCAGGCAGGGCATCTTGAGACCCTCTGGGTCAAGATACAAGGAGAACATGGGGAGGTGACTTATTTGTAGGAGTCTACTATAGACATCCCCACCAAGAGGAAGACAGATCAGGAATTCAATAGGGAACTGGTCAAAGCCACGCACTCCCAATCCATGATCATCATGGGGGACTTCAAATTCCCTGACATCTCTTGGGCTGAGCACACAGACATTATGACAGGTTGTGTAGCTTTTTCATGTGCATCAATGACCTCTACCTAACCCAGGAGGTGTATGGGCCAACTAGGGGAGAAGCATTGCTTGATCTGGTCCTGGCCAAAGGGGAGGACCTGGTGAGTGATCTGTGGTTTGAGGGGAAGCTTGGTGACAGTGACCATGAATTGGTCAGCATCTTAGTTCACTGAAGAGCAGGCAAACAGAAGTCCTCAGTAAAACAGAAGTCCTTAACTTTGGGAAGGCTGACTTTTGCGAACTGAGAGAATTGGTCAGTCAGGCAATTAGAAGCCATACCCCGCCCCCAGAAAAGGGAGTATGCAAGGAATGGTCATCTCTCAAAAACATAATCCTTGAAGCACAGGGCAAAGCCATACTATCTTGCAAGAAATGCAGTCAATGGGCAAGGAAGCCCCTATGGAACAAGAAACTCTTGGACCTCATTAAGCTCACAAGAGCAGCCTACACCAGCTGAAAAACAGGAAGCATTACCAAAGAAGATTACTCTGCACTTGCCCACACCTGTAGGGAGTGGTTGAGCAAAGCCAAGGCACAAACCAAACTTAGGCTAGCTACGGGAATCAAGGACAACAAAAAGCCCTTCTTCAGATACGTGGGAAGTCGGAAAAAGAACAAGGATAGCATTGGGCCTGAGAGACCCAACAGGGCAACTGACATCCAATGCCCAAGAAAGGGCCAATCTCTTAAATGACTTTTTTGTATTGGTTTTTCACCCTCCCAGGAGGATCACACCATCACGAATGGCACAAACCAATCTGGGAGCGGGCGATGGGCCTAAAATTAATGTGGATCAGGTGAGCGAACACCTTGAGAAACCGGCCAGTCACAAGTCTGCAGGCCCAGATAGAATGCACCCAAGAGTCTTGAAGGAGATGGCAGACATCGTTGCATCCCCCTTCGCAGAGATATCTGAAAAATCGTGGAGCTTGGGCAAGCTCCCGGATGACTAGAAAAGAGCCAACATGGCCCCTATCTACAAGAAAAGGAGGAGGGATGACCCAGGGAACTATAAACCAATCAATCTTACGTGCGTCCCTGGAAAAATCCTGAAGAAAATTGTCAAGGGATCCATCAACACCAGACTAGCAGAAAGCAAGCTTTTTGAATGCCAGCCAACATGGCTTTGTGACTGGCAGGTCTTGCCTGACCAACCTCATTTCCTTCTGTGACCAGGTAACATTTGCCCTGGACAGGGGAGATGATGTGGACATCATATATCTGGACTCTAAGAAGGCCTTTGACCTAGTTCCCCATGATGTCCTCATAGTTAAGCTGGGGAACTGTGGCCTTGATCATCATACCGTCTGATAGCTACGCAACTGGCTACGGGGTTGGACCCAAAGAGTACTAGTTGAAGGGAGCAATTCATCGTGGTGCACAGTGACCAATGGAGTCCCTCAGGGCTCAGTACTCTTTTAATATCTAATGATCTGGATTCAGGAGTTAGATGTCAACCGGGCAAGTTCCAAAATTATGGGGGAGGGTGGTCACACTGCAGGACAGGCTAGGGATACAGGCCAGCTTGGACACATTCTCAAGGTGGGCCAACCAAAACCTGATGGCCTTCAATGCAGCAAAGTGTAAAGGTGCTGCACCTCAGTAGGAAGAACTCCCAGCATACTTACTGGCTTGGCTGTGCCATGCTTGCTAGCACCATGATCGAAAGGGACCTGTGGGTCTTGATTGACCACAAGATAGATGCGAGCCACCAATGTGATGCTGTAACTGGCAAAGCTAACCAAACTCTGGCATGCATCTCAAGCAAAACTAGGGAAGTCGTTCTCTCATTTTACTTAGCCCTGGTGAGAGCACCAGGATGTGGAGAAGCTTGAGAACATCCAGAAGAGAGCCATTTGTATGGCCTTCACTCCAGGCCTTGGATCACACAAGGAGAGGCTGAGGGAACTGGGACTCTTCAGTCTGGAGAATGGAAGGCTTAAGAGGGACTTGGTGGCAGCCTACAGTTACATAAGAGGGGTAACATCAGGACCTGGGAGAATACTTGTTCACCAGAGCTCCCCAAGGGATAACAAGATCTAATGACCATAAACTCCAGGAAGGCTGATTTAGATTAGACATTTTTTTTTAGCTTATTTATGGTGTGTGGCCAGAGTCTGCAACAAAATCCCCCCAGAGATGGTGCAAGCACCTACTCTGGACTCCTTCAGAAAAAACAGGTGGCTATATTTCTTGCTGGGGTCACTTGATCCCAGCTGACTTCCTGGACCTGATGATCTCATGAGGTCCCTTCCAGCCCCCACTGTCTATGAAATGTATGAATTCAGTCCAGTCTGGGATGAAAGCCATAAAGTCACATGTAATCACTATTCATGGGGGAAGTTTGCATACATCTCATCCTTCTGTTTCCATGTGGCCTGGAAAAAAAAAAAAAAGTGTTCTTCCAGATTATTATACTGGTAATTCTGAAGCACTGTAATATTAATCCAATGCATTTCATTGATAATATTGATATAAAGTTACAAATATGGCCTATGTAAAATAAAATATAGTTACAAGTTAATTTAATTTTAGTACACCAATTAAAATAGAGACACCATAATTATCTGTACCATTTTTCAGAGAAGTAAGTGTGCATGTGTGCGCGCATGCACACCCACACACTTTCAACAGAAATGAGTGGGTAAAAAGCAAATTTGCATGTTTCATAATGATAGTAAAAAATGTAACAGCTTTTGCCAAAAGGCTGTATAATATTATTCTAATCTTTTAAACTCAAATTTAAAGTAAATATTCTAGCCCAGAATCAAACAAGGGACCAATTTATCAGTCATTTGTCCAGTCTGTGGTTCCTCTCTACAATATTCTGGAAGTGCTGACTGCTTCCATATTCACTGAAGATTTAATAATCTTACCCTACTTGAAGCATTCTCCATACACTTCCATAATTACTTATTAAAGCAGGGATATTCACTAGGGGCAAAACAGGGGAAAGCCACAACTTGTGCAGTATGTGCACATGCACCCAAGGAAGATAAGAGAAACTGCCTGGAGGGGGGAAAAAAATAGACATTAGAAATAAATAAATAAAAATCAAGATCACATTTTTAAAGAAGAAAAAACAGATGGCCAAGAAGTCAGGACTGGACAGGCATTTAGCAAACAAAGTTCAGCTGCAATATTGTTTAGGGTTCTGTTTTGTATTTTCTTCTGTTCTATAAGCAATTTTCCTGTTTTAAGTTACTCTGTTATCCTAGTCTGTTAGAAAGTGCAGTGTATAAAAGTAAATAAATAAAGTATAATGCTAATAAAGTTATAAGCCTATACCTAATTGGAGATTCTGTTTTGATATAGAAAAAACACATAAATATAGATGTCTCTGTAGTCTATTTGAAAAGAAGCAGGATAATGTATGTATAGGTCTGGTATTCATGTGTTGTAAAAGCTTGAAAGTTAGAGCGATTTGAATGCTGGAGAAAATGCCTTAGAAGTAAGATGTTTAAAGAGCTCATTGTATTCAGCATATCAAGACTGAAAGGTGACTTGATGATAATCTAAAAGTACCACCCCTTGGAGAAAATACCAAGTCTTAGAAGTACTGTAAATCTAGTAGAGAAAAATTACAGTTAGAAGCAATGACTGGGTAATGAAGCAAGAAAAAGTAATTTGGAAATAAAGCTCCAACAGCAAAGCTGGGGTTAGATCAAGCAATGTTGCCTGCCTGGATACTTCCTGTTCTGATTCAGAGGTTTGTGGAGGAAGGAGGGTCAACTGACCCTGGCTAGCCATTCTGGTGACAGGGAGTGGGTAGAGGTTGTCATTGGAGGTTACAGGCCAGCCTTAACATTTGGTAAATGAGAAAAATCAGTTAAGACATATTGGCTAATCCATTACAAAGTAAAGTTAGCAAGAGGATTCCAGAATTCCCTGACAAATGCACAGTAGCACATGAATGTGCACATGTGATGCTGGACCACTTTATCTAAAAAAAAAACGATTAGGGCAGTGTCTCAGCCCATGGTTTGCAACCCAAGTGGGTTGCAAGAATATATGAAAGGGTTGTAAAACAAACTTTAGAATTGGATTAAACTTTAAAAATGGATCCTTTTTAAAAAAAGAGGAAGTCATGAAAAACTGTTTTTCCTTTGCAAGCCGTCAGTTCCAGCCTGAAAGGGGTGCTTGCCCCCCAAATGTTCTATACCCCTCCCCTTGCCCCACACACTGTGGGGGTTGTGGCCTGGGGGAGGCAGGTAGCAGGTCAGGAGTCCTGGATCAGGACTGGCCAATGTTTACAAGTGGGTCCTGGTACCAAAAAAAAAAAAAACCCCAAAAAAACCACTGGATTAGATGGCTATAGAAGAGAACAAGCTCACTTTTTGCCAGGATAAAGAAGTCATCCCCACTCAAAATGGGGTCTCAAGTTCTTTAGTGTCAATCAAATCTCATTTCTGCTTTCAAAAGAAACTCATCAAGCTGCAATATTTTGTTGCAAGAAATTTTATTTCAGATGCCATTCTCCTTTGTCTTCTTGTTGGTGGTCACCTCAGTTTAAAAGCAGCGGATGGCTAACATGCATGTGGAGAACAAAAAGGTTGGACTAATACTAACTGGTAACATACAACGTGTACAGCATTTTATTTTGAAAGACTATGAATACAATGAATATACATGTTTTGCATCTGTCATTTGTATGGCACCATAAAAAAATTTCTAAACTCATCTGACCTGCTGCTCTGGAGTAACAGTGGGGCTACAAGGCCCATGCAGGCACTTTGGTTTTTATGAATATTTCCTGAGAATACTTGCCTCTCACAACATTAAAAATACAGTATAAAAATAATGCATCTTTTCATAGTACCTCTTCAACACTGCTAAGAATAAAGTTTCTGTATTTTGTTCTTTGGGATTTAAAGCTGCTGGTTCATTTTTAAAAGTGCAAATTCTGCTGGGAACAAGTTTCTGGAGATTTCTCAGGGTACTGTGCTCTGCACAAGACTGAGCTTCTGATCTCACTCCTAAGGAAGGCCTGTATTTTGTGAGAACCTCATTCTTGACCCCACCCTCCCTAAACCATGAAAAAAAGCTATCTAATGATGGTTGGCAATATCCCATTCCTCTTACTATAGCTGCAGTTCATAGAATGCCAGAGCTTCCATCATTCAGCTGTGAATACACGTTTACATTTCTGTCTGAGAGACTTTTGCAATAGCTCCATTTTCATACGCAGTTCCTTCTTTTCCTATCTCCATCTCTTTCTTTTTCTTCGCCTCTTCCTCATCAAGTTGGGCTTCAACCTCAGCAGGATCCACATAGGTATAAAAATATCCCATGATGGCAAAAATGATGCAAACTGCCAATAGCAAAGCGGCAAACAGCACATATTCTGCCCACTGTAGAGAAACAAGAGTGTTAAAAAAGTTAACGTCTATAGAGAACTATACTATTTACTCTTCACAAACAGACTTAATAAATCAGTTCTAACAATGGAAGATGTTTATGTACGTTTTATATGCATTAGATATACTTGCCTCCTTTTAAACTAAATTCAGGCATTTCTGAATATGACCAGTAAAACAGATTATTTCCCTTTAGAAATATACATGCATGCACGCACACACAGACTAATGACATTATCCGATCACTGCCCAAGTTAAGGTCTATCCATCTTAGAAGTCCAAACTAACTACCTAAGGCTAAGAACAGATTTGGATTACTCCTGGGACAAAGCCTTTTTTTCCTAGGGTCCTAGAGACATACAAGTCCATTGTCCCACTTTAAATACCTGTGAAGTATCCAAGATAAAAAAAATTTTCCCCAGGGCAATCAGGGCTAATTTGAATTAAATGTAATTGAGTGTATAAGCAACTGACTGTCTCACACCTGCTTTGATGCAAGTCAAAGCCCAAGACAATCACACCTGGAATAAACCCAATATCTATTTTTACCTTAACATACACCTGTGAAGAAAAATTAGATTCAAGAGACTGAAACATGGAGAAGATTCTAAAGTGACCTCTTTCAGGTAAATGTCAGAGTGACACTGATTGCTGGAGGAATAACTGACCAGCTCCATCTAGAAAGGACTTAGCCTAGATGGAGTTACCTAGAGCATCATCCTACTTCTATGGAGGCCAACTGCAAATTCAGCTAAATTTCAGTGACAACAGGACTGAATAGTGAGTGAAACTGAAACCCTCAGTTACTCAAGCCTCTTCAGAAGGCCCTTAAAAACAAAACAAAAAAAACCCACAAAAAACTATGGTTTTGTCTTGCTGCTTAGCCCTAGCCAGGGTCAAGAATGCCACAATGGCCTGAATTCAATGCCACAACGGCTCCTCCTTTCTCCTCAACTGCAACCCTTCCGATCAATGTGGCTAGTTTCTGAAGGCATCTAGATCTGTTGGGCTAGCAGAACAGGAGCTCTTAAACAAGGCTTGAGCTTTAAATAAATAAATAAAATAAATCAGAAGCCAGAATGTGAATCTATAAGGCTGAGATCCAAAGAGGTGGAAGCATTTCAAAATGCATTTAATGGGCCGGCCTGATAGGACAAACACAGGTCAGCCCAATACTTCTAACCTTTGTACTAGTCTCACTATCAGTAGTCATTTCTGTTGTAGCGTTCCTAAAAGGATTGCTACTATAAAAAGGAGAACTTGGTTAAACCTGAGTCATGAGCAGGAATTGGGGTTTCCCCATTTCCCATTGGGGAGGCGGGGGGGGGAAGAGAAAGTGTGAATTTCTTTTTTTACTAGAGAAATCCGCGGATTTTCCACTTTTGCAAAGAGCTCTTGCAGGCTGGCCAGAGGGGGAGGGAGAAGGGGGAGGGTCGGGCCCGAGCCACTGAGGCAGCCAAGCTCAGGCTCAGACTCACCCTTCACATGGAGCATGGAGGTAAGTGGGGCAGGGCTGGGGAAGATGGCTGGTGGGTGCTGCCGGCCCCAGGCAGCACATCTCATGCCCTGGCCCTACTCCCAGCTGCGGGCAGGGGTGCTTCTCTGCACAGGGCTTTGCAGGCAAGAGGTGCGGGGTGCAGTGTGGTGGTACCCACCACGTGTGGGCCAGCTGGGCAGCATGTCTGCACCTGCCCAGGGGAGGGGGAGAGGGAGGCTGGCATGTGGCCGGAGCACAGCTCCACAGCCAACTTTGCAACCACAGCGAATGTTGGGGGGGGGGGGGG